TTGGCTGCCCGACGTGCATTCAAGCCAAGTTCACCCGGTTTCCGTTCCCTAGTTCGGAGGCAACGGCAAAGGCACCGCTTGATGAGGTGGTGATGGACGTGGTGGGCCCCCTGAAGCTTGGAGCTGCTGGAGCTGAGTATTTTCTCACCATTGTCGACGTCTACACCCGCATGACTTGGGTGTACGTGCTGGCCAAGAAGAGCGACGTGGCTGAAACGTTGAAGACGAATTGGTTCCCGATGGTGGAGCGGCAACAAGACCGTCTAGTCAAGTCAATCCGCACCGATCGAGGGGGAGAGTTCCTGAGCAAGGAGTTTGGGTTGTGGCTGAAGAAGAATGGTATTCGGCACTCCCTCACCATGCCATACTCCCCTGCAATGAACGGCATCGCCGAGCGAGCGAACCGCACAATCACGGAGGCGGCACGCGGGTTGCTCATTGAAGCCGGGCTACCCGACTATTTCTGGCCTGATGCGGTGCGGAGCGCGTGTGTGGCCAAGAACAGAGCCTTGACTCATGTGGGAGCAGACAAATGGGTGCCCTATGTGGAGTGGCTAGGAAGGAAGCCAAAGGTGGATATGCTTCGGGTGTTCGGGTGCATGTGCATGGCGCTCGTGCCTAAGCATCTTCGGCACAACAAGCTTGGTGCCAAGGCGGTGTGGGCCGTGGACTTGGGCATGGCTCAAAACAGCAAGGGATGGCTTCTTTGGGACCCATTCACCAAGAAGTTCTTGGTGAGCAGGGACTGCAAGTTCATGGAGAACTTCATGTACAAGGATTGGAAGGCGGAGAATGAGGCGAAGATAGGCGTGCGGTTTGGGGAGGTGAAGAGTTCCGGTTTGGAGCATGTGGAGCTGCCTTTGGAGCTGAGCAGCGGCAGCACAACCACAAGGCAATCCTCCCTTGTGAATGGGGGAGAGGAGGCCAATGATGCAGAGGAAGAAGAGGAGGAGGTGCAGCAAGTGAGCGAGCGTGCACCGTCACTCCCTTCCCGTACTACGAGTGCTCCACGGATTCGAGCCACACCGCAGCAACGCCAAGGCCTTCAAGTCCCTGCAGCTGAGGAGGAAGGAAGGGGGAAGAGGAGAGTTCAACCCCCTAATAGGCTGACCTATGATGCGCCGGGAAAGCAGGGCAAGACAGCCCTGGCCGGAGCGGCAATGATGGTCGGAGATGACGAGGAGAGTGACTACGAGGAGTGTGCCTTCGCGTTCTTCTCTCCGGTGGAGATGCCGGGAGAACCAGCAACTCTCAAGGAGGCTTTGGAGAGTAGTGATGCTGAGGAGTGGAAGAAGGCCATGGAGAGTGAGCTGAAGAGCATCGAGGAGAATGACACGTTTGAATTATTGGAGCTACCGGAGGGGCGTACGGCGATAACGTCCAAGTGGCTCTTCAAAATCAAGTCGGATGCCGACGGCAAGATCGAGCGCTACAAGTCTAGGCTTGTAGCCAAGGGGTACCAGCAGAAGGAGAAGGTGGACTTCAAGGAGCTGTTTGCCCCTGTGGTGAAGCCGACGACGCTGCGAACCCTATTCGCGGGAGCCGCCATCAAAGGATGGGTAGTAAAGCAAATGGACATCGTAACGGCATTCCTTAACGGCATCCTTGAGGAGGAGATTTTTATGGCGCAGCCAGAGGGGTTTGATGATGGTAGTGGCAGAGTGTGGAAGCTGAAGAAGGCCCTCTATGGGCTGAAGCAGGCCCCTAGGCAATGGTACATGAAGCTGTGCGAAGTTTTGGAGGGGATCGGCTTCACTCCCTCAACGGCCGATCACTCCTTGTTCATGCTTGGCGAGGGGGAGCAGAGGAGTTTCATGGTGGTTTATGTGGATGACATCCTCATTTTCTCACCCTCTTCTGACCTTGTGAAGGAGGTGATGCTGAAGCTTCAAGACAAGTTCAAGTGCAAGGCCCTTGGTGACGTGAGCTTCTACCTTGGGCTCCACATCGAACGAGATGTGGAGAAGCGGTGCATGCGGGTGCATCAACGAAAGTACCTGGAGGCATTGGCTGCCAACTTTGGGCAGAGTGAAGGCCATGTGGCTACACCCTTTCCCTCTGGGTTCAAGTGTGTGAAGGGACCAGAGGAGGAGAGCGTTGGTGAAGAGGAGAGGCGCCGATTTCACTCGTTGGTGGGCAGCCTCATGTATGCGGCGGTAAACACCCGACCGGACGTCGCTTTTGCTACCGGGCAGCTGGCTAGGGTTGTGCAATGCCCTAATGAGGAGCAGGTAGCAGCTGGAATGAGGGTGGCCAAGTATCTTGGCCAAACACCGACCGTTGGGCTGCAATACTCGGCGGCGGCACAAAGGCGCCAAAAGGGCGCGGATGGTGTTGAACCCGGGCGTTTGTTCCTCACCGCCTACTCGGATGCTTCATATGCATCAGAACCAGAGGACATGACAAGTGTGGGAGGCTTCATATGCTGTGTTGGTGGAGGCCCAACTGCTTGGGAGAGCAAGAAGCAGGTTGACCAAGCTTTGAGCTCGGTGGAGTCCGAGTACATGGCACTCTTCCGTGCCGTACGGGAGATTGTGTGGCAGCGGCGTTTGTTGGCTGAATTGGGGGAGGAGCAGCAAGGACCTACCCCACTGTACTGTGACAGCCAGGGTGCCATTGCTCTTGCTAAGAACCCTGTGTTGCATGGACTCACGAAGCACATGAGAGTGAAGTGGCATTGGACGAGGAGCATGGTAACCGCGGGTGAAGTTGAGTTGCGCTACGTGAAGACCACGGGGCAGCCGGCTGACATGATGACCAAGAGGCTGGTGGAGCAGCAGCATTGGAAGTGTTGCAAGCTGGCTGGGATGGCTCTGAACTGAGAGAGCAACATATCCTAAGGCCAACAATCCGAGGGGGAGTTTGTTGGTGCAACCCTACGGTTTGCACTCGGCTTGTTGTCCGTGTGCGTGAATGTGTGTGTGTATGGAATGGTATGAGGGCATGGGATAATATATATTTCATGCTTATAATTGTGTGTGAATGTTGAGTCATGATGTCGAGTGTGTGTGTCGAGTCAATAGCGAGTTATCGCTAGACGCGTGTTACGCGGTCGTTTGTGTCTCGCGCGCGGTTTCTATTTTGTCGTGCGCGGTTTCTATTTTGTCCTGTGTCGAACGTTCGGCGTGTCGCAGGTGTGTGCAGCAGACCCATCAAGAACTCAAGGATGAGTTTGTGATGAAGAGCCCGAGCCTTGGTGTCAAGCCTCAAGTGATTTCGAAGCTTGCCAAAAGGGTACACCTCAAGATATTGAAGATAGTTACATTACTTTGTGTAGTGTAACATTTCACTTGGTGTAGGCCCTAGTGAAGGGTAGTTTCGAGACCCTTCGTGGTTGGGGACAGTGTGGCACTGTTCCACATCACTGTACCTCGGCTCTTGGGGTTTGTAGGAGCTGGGAGTCATTCCCAACTCGTAACTCTTCCTATCTTGTGTTCTAAGACTATAGTGGCTGCCATAGTACCGTTCGTTCAAACCGACGCTGTGTCGTCAATTCTTTATCAAATCGTGCAATCTAAATTGCTAATTGTAGACGACGTGAAGACGCTCCAGATCCAATTTGAATCAAGTCATTTGAAGCTGTGAGCAGAACGCTATCAACGTTTGAAGTCGCTGTGCAGAAATCCGTCTGTGCTCTCTATCTTTCGTTTTAGGCACATTCAAGCCTATTGTGACTATAACAACTTTGACGAGCTGAGACTATGGGGAAGCGAGGACCTAAGAAGAAGAGAGACTACCTATGTTGGGACGGTGGAAGGAGAAACACGGTAGCAGCGCGACCTGCAGTGGGAAACGAAGAGAAGGAGAGGAAGCGTGCTGAAATGGAGAAGAACATGGCTGAAATGTCGTGCTTTCAAGTGACGTGAAGAGAAGTCACGCCGGGTCAAAGGCGTGTCCAAGGAAGTCTGAATTTCGAACTCGAGGCGCGTTCGGTGCATGGTTGGATTTGGAATTTGAGCCGAGTACAACTCAGCTCGAAATTAGGCGCGGCGCGAGGGCGAAATCAGAAATCCTTTTGCTTATAACTTGCTTTGTGTGTTCTGTTTTTGTATGCCTTCTTTAATGAAATTACTTCAACTTTCTGCCTTGGCGTTTTCCATCAAATTCCTTCACACAGTTGAAGCCAGAGGTTACTATGCATACTACTAAGACTCTAAATAGTCTTCATAGTCTAGAATAAAGGCTGCGCACGTTCAAGACAACTTACATCCAAAATTCGCTCAAGAGTACGCAGCGTTGATTTTCTTATGATGTCCATACCCAAAACCCTCCATCTCCTCCTCCTATCCCTTATCCTTCTCCATCACCGACAGCTTGTAGCAGCGATTCCGTTCATAGATCCGTCACAGAGTGAGTTAATTTCACGCGGCCGGCGTTGCAAGTGATTTTATTGTATTGAAGACGAATCTATCCCGGAATTTTGGAATCTCAACTTCATTCTTTTTATAGGTGCTTCGTTCTCCATTTGACATTTTTTCCTCTTTGGAGGGACTCCCCTGCTGCACCACCCCCTCTGTCAATCTTGATCCTCGGTGTTTCTTTTAATCCATGCACAAAACTTGTGTGTTCTAATTTCTGCGCACAAAAAAACATAAACACTTTGGTTGAAGGCAACCCAGATATTCATCCTCCCCACACCCACCTCCACTCCCCAATGACCCGACACAGGCCCACATCGCTCTACACACGTTTCTCCACCATTCCAAACGACATCAGTGGCCTGTCCCGGCTCACAAGGCGGTAAGAAGGAGGATGAGAATGGGTGGGAGAGAGAAGGGATGAGAGTAGGTACGAGGAAGAGAAGATGAAAATGGGTGTGAGAGAGAGTGGATGGGAGGGGGTGAGTGGTAGAGGATGAGAGGGGGTGAGAGGGAGAGAGGATGAGAGTGAGGTGACTAAGAGAGAGGGTGAGAGGATATGAGAGGGAGATGCTTTGCATAGATTCAAGAGGCACCTCATTCCAAATGCCATCGTTTGTCTCACATGGCACACGAAGCTGTATGGAAGAGGATCTGAGGCGGGAAGATGCGAGTGAGTTAGAGGGAGAGATGATGAACGGAGGTGAGAGGAAGAGATGATGAAAGGAGGTGAGAGAGAGAGATGGCGACAAGGGTTCAGAGAGAGATGGAGACAATAGGTGGTGGCGGGAATACCAAAGGAGAAAAAACGGGCAGAGTAAGTCATTCGATACGTGAAATAATCCCGAGTTCTCAAAGGCTCGTATGAGTTGTGGCAGGGAACTGGCTTTCTTCCATGTTGGCGGCAGTCTTCCTTCCGGCTTGGGCAGCCTTGTCAACCTCCAAGGGCTGTATGGTTCATTTCCTTGTATTCACCTGTTCCTTGTGTGCTTTAGTTCCCCCTATCCTGCTTTCCGCTTGTGTCTCACATGCAATCATGAATCAATCCCTTTGCTTCAATCTCATGCCCACAGCTCTGACATGCTTAGTGCCAACGATGCCCAACCTCCCTTCTGTGCTACCCGTTCTTCAGTGCTGCCCTCTCCTTTATGCTCTCTGCTCTTTGATTCTATGACTATATCATCTACAGACAACTTTTCCTCGATACTCTTTCATGCTCGCGTGATATTTGGACTCGGTGCTCATATATTGCGCTATCCCCACCCGACTATGCCTGTTCCCCCACAGGAAGATCGGCGGGGTAGAGAATGGCAGCATTCTCGATTCATTTGGCAACATGTCAAGCCTGCAGTACCTGTGAGGCACTCTCATGCCGGCAGTACCTGTGACACCCTCTCATGCCAGCACTCCCTGTGACACCCTCTCATGCCAGCACTCCCTGTGACACCCTCTCATGCCATCACTCCCTGTGACACCCTCTCATGCCAGCACTCCCTGTGACACCCTCTCATGCCATCACTCCCTGTGACACCCTCTCATGCCATCACTCCCTGTGACACCCTCTCATGCCATCACTCCCTGTGACACCCTCTCATGCCAGCACTTCCTGTGACACCCTCTCATGCCATCACTCCCTGTGACACCCTCTCATGCCATCACTCCCTGTGACACCCTCTCATGCCAGCACTTCCTGTGACACCCTCTCATGCCATCACTCCCTGTGACACCCTCTCATGCCAGCACTCCCTGTGACACCCTCTCATGCCAGCACTCCCTGTGACACCCTCTCATGCCATCACTCCCTGTGACACCCTCTCATGCCAGCACTCCCTGTGACACCCTCTCATGCCATCACTCCCTGTGACACCCTCTCATGCCAGCACTCCCTGTGACACCCTCTCATGCCAGCACTCCCTGTGACACCCTCTCATGCCATCACTCCCTGTGACACCCTCTCATGCCAGCACTCCCTGTGACACCCTCTCATGCCATCACTCCCTGTGACACCCTCTCATGCCAGCACTCCCTGTGACACCCTCTCATGCCAGCACTCCCTGTGACACCCTCTCATGCCATCACTCCCTGTGACACCCTCTCATGCCAGCACTCCCTGTGACACCCTCTCATGCCATCACTCCCTGTGACACCCTCTCATGCCATCACTCCCTGTGACACCCTCTAATGCCAGCACTCCCTGTGACACCCTCTCATGCCATCACTCCCTGTGACACCCTCTCATGCCATCACTCCCTGTGACACCCTCTCATGCCAGCACTCCCTGTGACACCCTCTCATGCCATCACTCCCTGTGACACCCTCTCATGCCAGCACTCCCTGTGACACCCTCTCATGCCATCACTCCCTGTGACACCCTCTCATGCCAGCACTCCCTGTGACACCCTCTCATGCCATCACTCCCTGTGACACCCTCTCATGCCATCACTCCCTGTGACACCCTCTCATGCCAGCACTCCCTGTGACACCCTCTCATGCCAGCACTCCCTGTGACACCCTCTCATGCCATCACTCCCTGTGACACCCTCTCATGCCAGCACTCCCTGTGACACCCTCTCATGCCATCACTCCCTGTGACACCCTCTCATGCCATCACTCCCTGTGACACCCTCTCATGCCAGCACTCCCTGTGACACCCTCTCATGCCATCACTCCCTGTGACACCCTCTCATGCCAGCACTCCCTGTGACACCCTCTCATGCCATCACTCCCTGTGACACCCTCTCATGCCATCACTCCCTGTGACACCCTCTCATGCCAGCACTCCCTGTGACACCCTCTCATGCCAGCACTCCCTGTGACACCCTCTCATGCCATCACTCCCTGTGACACCCTCTCATGCCAGCACTCCCTGTGACACCCTCTCATGCCATCACTCCCTGTGACACCCTCTCATGCCAGCACTCCCTGTGACACCCTCTCATGCCAGCACTCCCTATGACACCCTCTCATGCCATCACTCCCTGTGACACCCTCTCATGCCATCACTCCCTGTGACACCCTCTCATGCCATCACTCCCTGTGACACCCTCTCATGCCATCACTCCCTGTGACACCCTCTCATGTCAGCACTCCCTGTGACACCCTCTCACGACCGCACTACCTGTTTGGCTGTACTAGCTGTGAGGGCCTCTAATGCCAACACTATTTGTCGCTGGAATGTAATAGATTTATTGGCGCCTTTTTTTCTTCTTATTCTTCTTTCTCCGTTGATCCAGAGACATTATTGGGGATCGAAAGAACTTCAAGCTCACGGGTTCCATTCCAGAATCTTTATCCAATATCCGCAACCTCACTGAGCTGTAAGCATGTGATCTTGACCCGCCTTGATTAAGGGCAGAAATTCCCAGTATTCTATGAATAACGTCTGCAGAACCACACACCTTCTCGTGCCAGCCACTTTTAAAGTAAACCACATACCCACACCCCGCAGGTGGCTGGATGGTTTGATTTTCTCAATAGTACCTTTTAGTGACTTCTAATCAGCTCAAGAATCAGCTCATGTCAACCACACACCTGCGCCCCGCAGGCTGCTGGACGGCAATGCGATTGGGCCGCTTACTAACAGCATTGGGAGCCTCACGAGCCTTCGTGTTTTGTAAGCAGGTGTTAGCCCTTCAGGTGTTGTGCAAACTGAGGGAAGGTTGCATTTCTTGTGGTGGTATGGTGAGTGGTGCATGTGATGGGATGGTGCATGTGATGGCATGGTGCATATGATGGTATGGTGCATGTGATAGTGTGCTGCATGTGATGGTATGCAGTATGTGATCGTATGGTGCGTGTGATGGTCTGTTGTATGCATGCATGCACGGGCACACGCTTGCACACATACACACATGTGTATGCCCCTTGCGCTCTCTTAATTCCTCTGAATTCCCACACCCCCTCGCCCCGGGCCAGTAATTTGAAAAACAACAACCGCACGGGCAACACCATCCCCAGCACCATCTCTGCTCTCACCAACCTCGTAGAGCTGCAAGTCTTTGTGGCGTACAACCCCATAGTCTCTTGTTTTTTTAGGTTGATTCTGAAAATTCTAAAATTTTTCTCAGAACCAACCTCTGCTCTCACCAACCTCGTAGATGTGTAAGTCGTGTCACATGCAAACCCATGGTCTCTTGCATCAGGGCCGGGCCGTGAGGACAATCGTTTGAAGATGCTCGCCTCTTGGGAACAAATGACGTCTGGCTGGCCTGTCGTCTTCCCCCAAACCCCTCTCCCCACCACCCATCACCCATGCCTCTTTGCACCCATGTTTACTCCCCATGCCGTTGCATGTGATTTTGTAAATTCTCAAACACCCCCCCCCCATGCCTACTTTCACCCATGATTGTGCCCCACCACACCCATCTGCGTTTGATACGCTCCAAAGCACGAATGCGCCCGCTCTAACCCATCCGCACCCCTTGCTTGATCGCTTGGCTCCCCGGCATCAGAAGCTTCTACAACTCGCAGATCAACGGCTCCATTCCTTCAGAAGTCTCTACACTCACTGGACTTAAAATCCTGTGAGTTGCACAGACATTGTTCATGGATTATTAACTCGAGGTGCTCGATGGATGGTTAATACTTGCACCCAGTGTGTTCTCATCTTCCCTCAACAACACACATGGCATAACCTTCTATGGTCGTCCCTTCCCCACAATCACATGTGCGTCCCTTCCCTGCGATCCCATTATCATCCGTCCTTCCCTACACTCACACGTGCTTCCCATGGCCATTCGTCCACCTACAATCACATGTGCATCCCATGGCAGTCCGTCCTTCACTACAATCACATGTGCACCCCATGGCAGTCCGTCCTTCACTACAATCACATGTGCATCCCATGGCCGTTCGTCCACCTACAATCACATGTGCATCCCATGGCAGTCCGTCCTTCACTACAATCACATGTGCACCCCATGGCAGTCCGTCCTTCACTACAATCACTTGTGCATCCCATGGCAGTCCGTCCTTCACTACAATCACATGTGCATCCCATAGCAGTCCGTCCTTCACTAAAATCACATGTGCACCCCATGGCAGTCCGTCCTTCACTACAATCACATGTGCATCCCATGGCAGTCCGTCCTTCACACAATCACATCTGCATCCCATGGCAGCCCGTCCTTCACTACAACCTCATGTGCATCCCATGGCAGTCCATCCTTCACTACAATCACATGTGCATTCCATGGCAGTCCGTCCTTCACTACAATCACATGTGCATCCCATGGCAGTCCGTCCTTCACTACAATCACATGTGCATCCCATGGCAGTCCATCCTTCACTACAATCACATGTACATCCCATGGCAGTCCGTCCTTCACTACAACCATATGTGCATCCCATGGCAGTCCGTCCTTCACTACAATCACATGTGCATCCCATAGCAGTCCGTCCTTCACTACAATCACATGTGCACCCCATGGCAGTCCGTCCTTCACTACAATCACATGTGCATCCCATGGCAGTCCGTCCTTCACTACAATCACATGTGCATCCCATGGCAGCCCGTCCTTCACTACAACCACATGTGCATCCCATGGCAGTCCCTCCTTCACTACAATCACATGTGCATCCCATGGCAGTCCGTCCTTCACTACAATCACATGTGCACCCCATGGCAGTCCGTCCTTCACCACAATCACATGTGCATCCCATGGCAGCCCGTCTTTCACTACAACCACATGTGCATCCCATGGCAGTCCATCCTTCACTACAATCACATGTGCATCCCATGGCAGTCCGTCCTTCACTACAATCACATGTGCATCCCATGGCAGCCCGTCCTTCACTACAACCACATGTGCATCCCATGGCAGTCCATCCTTCACTACAATCACATGTGCACCCCATGGCAGTCCGTCCTTCACTACAATCACATGTGCACCCCATGGCAGTCCGTCCTTCACTACAATCACATGTGCATCCCATGGCAGTCCGTCCTTCACTACAACCACATGTGCATCCCATGGCAGTCCGTCCTTCACTACAACCACATGTGCATCCCATGGCAGTCCATCCTTCACTACAATCACATGTGCATCCCATGGCAGTCCGTCCTTCACTACAATCACATGTGCATCCCATGGCAGTCCGTCCTTCACTACAATCACATGTGCATCCCATGGCAGTCCGTCCTTCACTACAATCACATGTGCATCCCATGGCAGCCCGTCCTTCACTACAACCACATGTGCATCCCATGGCAGTCCATCCTTCACTACAATCACATGTGCACCCCATGGCAGTCCGTCCTTCACCACAATCACATGTGCATCCCATGGCAGCCCGTCCTTTACTACAACCACATGTGCATCCCATGGCAGTCCATCCTTCACTACAATCACATGTGCATCCCATGTCAGTCCATCCTTCACTACAATCACATGTGCACCCCATGGCAGTCCGTCCTTCACTACAATCACATGTGCACCCCATGGCAGTCCGTCCTTCACTACAATCACATGTGCATCCCATGGCAGTCCGTCCTTCACTACAACCACATGTGCATCCCATGGCAGTCCGTCCTGCACTACAATCACATGTGCGATGTATCTTCCACAGATACCTCGACCACAACAACCTGGTGGGCTTTTGAGGCGTATCACAAATCTTTTGAGATGTCACAAAGCTCTATTGTCTTCCCTTCGCTACAATCACATATGCGATGTACCTACAGAGACCTCAATTACAACAACCTGGTGGAATCAGTGCCGCCGTTTCTGGGGGAGCTCCCTCTCCTTACCTTCCTGTGCGCACTCATGCATGTGGATGGGTGCATGCATGCATGCATATGGCTGAGTGCATACATGCATAGTTGAATGTATGCATGCGCATGGCTGAGTGTATGCACATGGCTATAGAACAATAACGTTCCTAAATACACATATTTACATGCCCTCCACTTCTCCACATTCCCGGCCATGTTGGTGCCCTCCAATTCCAACCACTTGATTTTATACGCCTCTCACATGGCATCCACATGCCACCCACGTACCATCACAGAGGCATGAAGGGAAACTACCTGACGGGCTACCTGCCCCCCACCCTTGGCGCAGTCGACCTAAGTACCCTGTAAGTTCTTAGTAACACATTGTATTCATGTGACTTTGAGTCACCTCAGAAGTTACCATATCACAGAGGCATCAAGGGAAACTACCTCACGGGCTACCTGAGCCTCCCACCCTTGGCGCTGACGACTTTGGTGCACCGGAACTGCTTGTAGACATTGTTCTCATCCTACCCTTGGGGCATTCGACATAAGTACTCTGTGAGTACTCTATACGTGCTCGGTAGGTGCTCAATGCCTTCTAAATCCGCTCGAATCCAACAGCTGCTCCCCTTCTGACCCATCTCACCCGTTTGAGTCCAGTTTCGTGGATACTATGTCAACATTGGGGATACCTTTCACACCCCTTCCCTTCCGCACCTCATTCCCTACTTCATGCCCCACCATATGCCCCACCAGGGCGTATGAATTCACAGTCCTATGTTCCAACAACCCTGGCTGTGTGGCACAGCAGTCACTGGAGAGCCACTCCCATACATTGGGCCGAGCCTGGACACATGCTGCTTCACACCCCACCTCATGCCTTATCTCATGACCCACCACATCCCCCACCAGGAAGTATGACTTCACAGTGCTGTGCCTCAACAGCACTGACTACGTGGTGGAGCAGTCACTAGAGAGCCGCACTGTGCCACGGACCCCTCCAGTCAGAAGAATGTTCCTTCACACCCCTCCTTCTTCCCATTCCCACCACATCCCCCACCAGGAAGTATGACTTCACTGTGCTGTGCCCCAACAGCACCGAATGTGTGGTACATCAGTCTCTGGAGAGCCAGTTCTGTATCGCCTGCCACTCCTTCTGCCAGTCCTGCACCCCCCCAACTCCAGGCGAGCTGTCCTTCTGAATGTGAGTTTGTTATGAGACGTTTTAATACATACTTTCTTTTAGAGGCATAGCCGCATTCCCGGTCATTCCTTCTACCAGTCTACCAGTCATACTTACCAGTATTCCTTCTCTAGCTCAGGCCTCCAGCCGAGCTTAATTGCCACCATTCGTACTTCTTACAGCCCGGCGCTCCATAGAACTCAAAAAAAACAAAACAAAACAAAACAAAGGTAAAAACATCCTCTTCTTGTGTTTCTTTCTGTGTAGCACCACTATCTGCTGCTCTCTCATCAGTTATGTTTCCATGTTGCATGCAGACCGTATCCCCATGTCTGACCATGTTGACTCATGTTACTATCCAATCGGAATGCCGTCCTCCCCTTCTTATGTTCTTCATGTGTCCCACCAACAACTGCTGTTCTGTCATCAGTTGTGATTCAGTCTTTCATTCAAGTGACATCCTCCTATGGCGTGCCGATCCATGGGAACCATGAAACCGCTCGTGTTCTTTCCGTGCAGCACTGTCGTCTGCTTTTCTCTCATCCGTCCTCATTTCGTGTTTCATTCAAGTGGTATCCTCGTGTGCGCGCTGATTAACACGAAGCATAAACATATCCCCCTCCCCCCCCCTCTCTTCTTATGTTTCTCTTTATGCAGCACCACCTTCTACAGATCTCCCACCCAATGTTCTTCCACCCAACTCCGACTCACCTTCACCCTTCCCACCCGAAAATCCCAAGCATCAAGACAACCCTCCCATCTATGCACCCTCGTCCCTCTCCCCTCCCCCCATTCCTCCTGGTGGCAACGGCACTACCGAACCCACAAACCCCCCATCCTTGGGTACTAGTGCATCGGGCCTCTCTACTGGCGCGATTGTGGGGATTGTGGTGGGGGTGATTCTAGCAGTCGTTGGCGCCGTTGCTGTCGCATTCATCGTGATTCAGTGTTGCAAACAGACAGAAGGTGAGGTGATTGGTGAAGAGCGTGATACAAACCTCCTTTTGATAAAGCACTTCAAAAAATTGAACGCTTGCATACTGTCCCTCCCGCCCCCTTCTACCACCCACCCCATCCACCCTATGCCACTTCTTACTTTCCTTACCCTTTCGCAACTGTTCTTCTACATTGTTTGCACTTGAAAATAGTTCAGAAACTTAGGAAAGTGAATACTAATGTAGATTCACAGTAATACTTGATTTATGTGCTCAAACTGACAAGCCTCTTCCCTTCAACCCCTCGATAATCCCCTCTCTCTCCTTCATGCTCTTACATACACACCTACTTCACCCTGCCTTTTTGTCACTTTGCCTTTTTTTTGTGCCCTTTTCCAGCCATTGAGGTGGAATACCCCTCTACTGCAGTAGCAGCAGCATCAGAATACCTAGTGATGGGGGCATACACTGCAGAAGACCAGTACTACAAGCCCTCGCAGGAAGCCAATGCTGCCTACCAACCAGGTGCTGCTGCTAAAGTGTAACTCTTGCCAGAAACGGAAGCGAAGTGGAGATGTCCAGCACAGGTCATACAGGAAGAGGCTAGAAGGATGAATAGGATATGTGGACGGGATATCACGATGGGATTTTTTGGTGAATTACTCAGTGTACTATGGAGAAGGGAGCTACACTTATGAAAGGGTAGTAGTTGGTGCTATTAGATGGGCTGTTTTCAAGAAGAGGTGGCTAGAAGGGGGCTTTGAGGTTGGTGCAAATAGGTGGGCTGCTTTCTAGAAGAGGTGGCTAGAAGGGAGCTTCAAGGGAAGGTATTTGGGGTTTAGTCCAAAAGGTGGCAAGGGCATATACCAGGAGAGAGAGATCTGGCATGGACCCATGCGGAGGTGGTGGCAGGGAGAAGGCACAAGTCATTGAAACGATAGTGGAGGTCAGGCCCTACGATATCAGGAATTTTACCCTGAAATTCCTGATTTTCAGGGTTTTTTTTTTTTACCTACCCTGAAAATCCAGTGTTCAGCTTTTCCTAGGGCTGATTTTTCAGCCTTCACATGCCACATGACTCTGAACTTTCAGCAATTTTTTTGAAGTGACACTGATGCCTTTACGTTGTAACGAGTTTGACCCTGAAAGTGAATCCTACTAGGTACGAGTGTACTTGACCGGAAGTACTGGGAAAATCAGATTCCCGCGGTGTTAGCAGGGCCTGTCGTTGACTATCGGACAATTTTGCCCACACTGATGGCCCCTTAGTTGGCGCGCCTGGTCCGTTCATTGGCCACATTTGCAACATTAAGTGACTTGACCAATTACAAGGTTGCAGCACAGAGATGCTGGCAGGCTGCGCTGCGAGGGATTCTGGCGGTCTAGGTCGTGCTGGCAAGCACTGATGCATCCACGCCTCCCAGCCGTGCTACCTGCCATCCAGCCTCACATCCCGTTCTGCTGTTTGCTTCCTTCCTAGTGTTTTTACTACTAGTAAAATAAAGACTACTAGTATCAGCCTTTTTCTGTAGGGAACACTGATGCATCAGACTTTTTTTTTTAAGTAACACTGAACTTTCAGGCTTTTTTTTTAGGCGACCCTGACGATCAGGGTCTAGGGGCAGAGGGACCCTGATACCCTTACGTGCCTAAAAGTGAATCTGAGGGCCTGGTGGAGGTGCCTCAAAGTCCCACGCCGGTGTAGCGACAAGGGAGGAGACATAAGTTGGGTCATGCATGGGTAGACCAGCCAGCCCAAGGGACGAGCATGCCCCATGATGTCACATTTTGTTCAGCTAGTCAGTCTCGAGGTGTTGGATGGATGTAGGAGGGCTTGTGATCTAGTGTTTGATGTTCAGAATTTTGTTTTCTTTCCTTTTCTTTAATCTGCTGCCATCTGACATTCTAATCTATGATGGTTTATAGGCAAAGACATCTTAAGACTAAAGCCATAAGGATATGGGCAAGGTTCACTCCTTCTACCATTGATAGGAGTTGCTCCCAGGAGCTGCTTCCAACCTTTTTTCTTCGAGATATGTCTCACTTACATTTGCGATTGAAGTGGAAACGGTTTGGCAAAAACCTGTGCTGCATGCATATGGAAATGGTAAACAGGTGGTTGTCACTCAGCAGTTCCAGGTAGATCCATCTTACCGTACATCCGCACAAAGCGGGACTCTTTCAAAGAAGTGAAAGTGTTGCTCCAAGGCATCCTGACAGAGGTCACACTGGAGATTAAACCCTCCCTCCTGGTCGATGCGGTCTTTGCAAGTAAGGCTGGCCGGCATTATAGAAAGGAGCAGGTAAATTACCAAGCTATGGATGCTGAAATGGGTCTGACAATGGAGGGCTTGATGATCCCTCACTTAGGAGATAAGTATCGCGGGCACCATGTGGTGGAGGACCCACTTAGCAAAGGAAAGTGTTTCCTGATGCATAAGGCATTGCTGACCTATAGGTTGTGTCAGAGGAACCACATGGGTAGGCAACACAATGAGTACGCCAATAAGAGGCAGAACAACATTGGCCAATGGAACCTGTTGGCCAGGGTACATGGTAGGAGTAAATCTTGGCGATATATTACAAGTGTATTGTTTGTGCATTCATGAGATGATCCTAATCCTATTGAGCACTCTACGATCCTTATCCTACTCTATTGACCTCTTTGGAAGCACATGCAAGTCCAAATGATTGTTCTCATTTTGACAGGGTCGAACCTGATGAATGACCGTGCGTGTAAGAACGCTGCATCAGAAGTTATGGGGAGTGACCTTCGGGCGAACGTGTGCATTCGCTAAGATTAAGTAATAAGCATCGCATAACACAGAAATAAATATGAGCCCCGTGACAGTGGTAGGAATCCTCCGTTCGCATGCTAATTCGGCATCCTTTCAGCTAGAAGGCAGACATATGTGGTAACGGTGGTAGCTGACAAAATCAATGCGACACAAAACGAGCAGGAACACTGGTTGCTATTGCTAGCTAGCAGTGGTTGTTAACGAATTTTATATGATTGGTGTATTAGAATTGCGTGGAGATTGAGGTTTATGGAAAAGATTGCTATCTATATTAGAAGGGCCGTATCATGAAATGATGAGAACTACAACAAGTGTTGGTTGGCATGACCCCCACTCTTTTGGCCTCTCTTCTCTCGCTGGACTTGAAATCTGGTGAGTTGCACAAGAGTGTGCCCGTTCTCACACATCTACACCCATCTAAACACCATGTTTGATCGGCATGACCCCCACTCTTCCGGCCTCCCTCTTCTCACTCGACTTCAAATCTTGTGAGTTGCACATGAGTGTGCCCGTTCTCACCCATCTACACCCATCTAAACGCCTTGGTTGATCGGCATGACCCCCACTCTTCTGGCCTCTCTCCTCTCACTGGACTTCAAATCCTGTGAGTTCCACACATTATTCATGGGCTATTGAATGAAGGCGCTTCATGGACTGTTTATAAATGCACCCAGCTTGTTCCCATCTTCCCTCAACGACACACATGGCATAACCTTCTATGGGCGTCCCTTCCCCGTGCGAGATATCATCCATAAAGACCTCAACTACTGTTAGAGTAATTAACATGTGGGATTCAATCCCCAGTTCGACTATTCCTAACCAGAACGTCTTATCCGGGAAGCGGGTCTTCCGGATTAAAGCCAATACGAATGGCACGATCGAGCGATTCAAGGCGCAATGGGTAGCGCGCGGCTTCGATCTAAAGCAAGGAGTCGATTACGGAGAGACGTTTGCTCCTGTTAGCCGTCATACATCACTCCGTATTCTACTCGCCTTCGCAACCGCACTGGGTTTAAAGCTCCGACAGATCAACATGTCAACGACATTTCTCTACGCGCTCGTCGACACACCAATTCTAGTCGAGCAGCCGCACGGTTCCGTCACGAACCCTTCTCTGGTTTGTCGCCTCAACAGATCGTTCTGCGGAATAAAACAAGCGCCACGTCTCTGGCAGCAGCGTCTTCACGAGTGATTGATAAAAATCAGTTTTCGTCAACTCCCACATGATCACGGAATGTACCGTCTTGATTGCGACGGTGCATTCGTACTACTCGTCGTCTATGTTGATGACTTACTCTACATTGGGAGCACCGAGAAGATTCTTGTTTACTGTGAAAGGGAGATGCAGAAGGATCTCACACTCACAATTTCTACTACGGTGATGCAGTATCCCGGCCTCAACATTACCGAGAAAACCCTCCTCTATTCACCTCTCGGCGGAAAAATACGCGGAGAAGCTTCACACGCGCTTTTTTCTGCCGACGACTACGGCCTCTACCCAGCATCGCTCTACCTCATTGGTGGACTCTGAAGTCTTATCTGCTGCCGGTATCATGCGCTATGAGCAGCTACTTGGCAGTCTCCTATTCGCAGCAGTCACCTGTTATCCTTCTCTGCTAGCCAGCTCGCTCAATACCTTAAACGACCTGAAGGGGAGAATCGACGGGAGCTAGAAGCACCATTTTCCTACTTCGTATCTACACCTACACTTATCACAAGTCGCCTAAGCCGCCATTCTCACTACTTGGCTACGTAGATGCAGATCATGCGGGTGATGCTGCAAACAGACGTTCATGTACGGGATTTATCTTCCGCCTGGAGCCTGTGAAGAAATGAGGAATGAATTGCACTAGGAAAGAGGTGGGTACAAGTAGGAAACCCTAGAAGTGTTGTACCCTATATTGTCTACCCCACTACAGCCTACAAAGACTATAGCATATGAGTTTGACACACCCCCATAGGCAAAGTGGGGGAGAACAAGGGGTCACAAGACCAGTCAAGCAAGGCAAGCTCAGGGTGGATCACAACGTCACCACACATTCCGAGCACAAGTTCAAGGCCACAAGGCCAGTTCACATGCATGGTTATATATAAAAGTAAGCAAGCAAGCGCACGTATAGACAGATCACAGTACAAGCAAGGTCAAAAAGTAAGCAAGTGAGGCCAAGTAGGCACAAGACCTAGCATCGTACAAAAACGCTGATGATCACAAGGCTGAAGTGCCTTGGTAAAGATATCAGCAGTGTTGGCCCTAGAGGCCACGTAAGCAAGGCGCAGCTGACCACGCTGCTGCAGCTCACGAGCAAGGAAGTAGCGAAGAGCAATGTGCTTCGTTCTGTGCTCCAGTCTGTTCTCCCGACACAAGGCCAGCATGGCCTTGTTGTCTACGTACAGGACTGGAGGAGAATGAGGCGGCTCTCCGAGGTCAGTCAGCAGGTAGGTGAGCCAGCGTAACTCCTGTGCAGCCATGGCCCCTCCGTAGATCTCAGCCTCACAGCTAGAGCTGAGAACAGAAGACGAGCGGGTAGACCGCCACGAAACAGAGACGGAACCAAGGCTGAAGGTGTAACCCTGTGACGACCACTACGTAGCCAAGTCGTCAACCCAAGACGCGTCTGCGTGACCAGTGAGGACTACTGGACTCCGCCCTCCAAGCACGAGCCCAATGCCCGACGTACTGCACAAGTAGCGCAACACCCTCTTCGCTGCAGCCATGTGCTCTGGTCGGTGTCTCCCAGGAGCAATAT